CAAACAGAAAGAATAATGTTCAGCCAACTATTTCTGAAGAACAAGTCAGAGTCAAGTCAAATAGGTGGAGCTGGTTTAAGAAACTGAGGATGAATAAAGTGCAGCAAGTTGGAGTCAAGTCAAATAAGGGCAAGAAGAAGGAGGAGAAAAATACTCCATGGCGATTCCTCTGTTGCTGTGACTGCGAAGTCTTGGAATAGCCCCCCCTCTATACCTCACCAACCGTTCATTTTCTCCCCTTTTATCTCCCCCTTTAGCTCCACCCCCTCCCAAACCTTTCACTTTATCACCTTATTCCCTCAGTTCTATAAAAACTGAAGCTGATAAAGTTGATTGTTGAAATTATAAATAGTGCACAACAACTGCACAACTTATTGAAAAGTAATTAATATTAGACCCTAGCTTTCCCTTTTCTACCTTTTAATCCTTGTCTCTCTTATTTAGGTTTACTCCGGGTGCTCCGGTTCCCTAACACGAATTCTTAATTCGACTATAAAAAAAATCCAATTTGAAAAAGAATAAATAAAGTAATTGACTTGAACCAGAAAATGACATGGAAAAAGTGATTATTTGCAAGTTATCTTAGGTTGACTGTTTTTTCAGAGTTGATCTATGCCACCCACCATTCTGATGTAGGCTACTACACAATGTCTTCTGTTTCTGTCAAAAGAAATCAAAACATTTTAACCCTAACAATATACTGTCTCCCAATTTGGTGTCTTACTACAATTTAACTTTTGTAATGGAACTTTTAATCTTTTCCTGTATATTATATTAATTGAAATGTCTTTGTTGCCATTTAACAGGGGATCCAGCCAGAGTCAGTGGATGAGATGGTGGTTCGGAAACCAAAATTGAAGTTGGTGTCAAATCAGGTGTAAAATCCACCTTGTATGCAGCATATTCAGGTGAGTCAACCATATGAATGTTATTCTAAACATCTAGGATAGGATAGGATAGGATAATACTTTATTGATCCCCAGAGGGGAAATTCGGGCGTTACAGCAGCACAGACAAGAAAGCTCAAATACACATTAAACAGAATAGATGAGATAAATAAAAATAAAAATAAAAAATAAAAACAGGGGGTATATACAGTACAAAAATGAATGTTGAAGTTAACTGGGGGGAATTGAGAATTGAAACAGTATTTGAAGAGAATGACAAGATAAAGTGACAAGTGATGATTAAAGTGACTTGGTATGATAAATAAATGGTATAATATAGTGCAATATGAACAATATAGTGTAATATAATGAAATGTTATATAATATAGACTAGTATAATAATAAATATATAGAATGTACAGTATATATGTATATATATCTATGTATATACGCACACACCTTGAGGATCCTGGGACTGATGTTGTCTGGTCCACTGGCTTTTCTGATGTGGAGTCTGGAGAGTTCTCTTTGTACCTGGCTGGTAGTAAGAGTGAGAGTGGGACAGTGAGCGGGGTGAGGGTGAGGGTGGGCTGTCCTTTGAAGCTGCTGATGAGGAGCTGAGAGAGGGGGGGAGGTGGTCAGGACCTTGATGGGAGGAAGAGGAAGAGCAGAGTCTCCAGCAGAGGTGTGCAAACAATTGCAGTTGGCAGTTCTATTAAAAACACACAAAATATAACTGATGAATCCTCATATAATCTTGTGTGGTGGGGCCCCTTCCTGACCCGGGTGTGATGTCTGTTGGAGAGAAATTGAAAGACATTTAGCCACAGCTGGGGATCTGTAAGATTCTTCATGGACTTGAGGAACTCACCATGGTGGAGTCCAAATTTGGTCTTGTGCCCTTCGGATCAGTTCTATCATACCAGTGCCCCTTAGAGGCTACTAGGGAAATAATGAAACATCCAAATGCCCAGAATTCCCTCTGCTGCCTGTTGAAGGCTACAGGTTTCTAGCTGACTTTGAGTTTACTGCTGACTATGAGCAGCATTACCACCTTGAGAGCCTAAAGGTGTCTCACGAACTCTCTGCTGCCATAGAAGCTGAGACCAGGCAACAGTCTGTCAGCCCGCTGTGGGTCTCAGTACGAAAGCCAAGAGTGACTGCCAGCAGGTTCAGGGAGGCATGTCATGTACGTGGTGAGTTCTCAGCAAAAGCCCTGGCAGCGCATATTCTTAAAGGAGCGCCACAGACCCTGGCAATGAAAAGGGGTCTGAAGCAGGAGCCTGACATAATAAAACAGTTTTCTGATTTGTTTAATTTGTCTTCATTGTGCACCCTGATGCACCTCACCTTGGTGTCAGCCCAGATGGCAAAGTTTTTGACCCGACTGAAACTCCACCATTTGGACTGGTGGAAGTGAAATGCTGCAGTACCGATTCTGTTGCTGAGGTTAAGCACCTAACACCAGTCAGAGGTCAGGCCACACTTAAAAAGGGTCATAAATATTACTGGCAGGTTCAGGGCCAACTTGCCATCAGCGGACTGGAGTGGTGTGACTTTGTAACTGACACGCACACACACAGATCTCACAGTTCAGAGGGTCTGGAGGGATGAAGACACCATTCGTTCAATGAGGCAGCAGCTTGACATGTTCTATTACAACATCTATATGGATGTGTTTCTCAAGTCCAAACATTGAGTACTGTATGTGCTATCAATGCAGTTTATGAATTGTTGAGTGAAAAATCATAACCTTGTAAATAAGACTGTTTAATTAATGTTAAATGAAATGTTTACATGTGCCTTTTAATGAATTAAAACTAAAATGTATTTGTGTAACTGACTACAGTTCTGTTTTTTATGCTGCACTAAATAGTTATTCTACTTGACATGCTGTGATCCCATTTTAGATAAAAATGAGGAATATGTGATGTGAGGGTCTGTGTTTACTTCTTTTTTATTCAAATGTTAATCTCTTGACTTTGTAATGTAAATAAGTAACATATCATACACAAAATAATGAACATCACATATATACAATTCATGTGTTAATCTCTTGATTTGTAATGTAAATAACATATAAACAAATAATATACATTACAGATATACAATTCATGTATACATTACATTTGATTAATTGTCATTAATAACTGGGGAATGTGCTAAATCCAACCAGCTAGACAGGCTTGTCACCTTTGATGTCCAGGGGGCCTTGGTAGTTCGTCAACAGGCAGCAAACTGCCCATAGTTGGTTGATGGAGCCGGCCAAGGAGAGAGGAACAACCCCATCCCAGATATGGTATTCCTTGACACGTCGTATTATCCTCTCCACCAACACTCTCAGGCAGGCAATAGCTTGAGTTTTTCCAGTGTCTGATGTGCTGAGCTGAGGGGCGGTTTTTAGTGGGGGGATGATCAGTGATGCCCCTACCTCTGCCAGCATATCCTCAATTAAAAACCCTTTGTCATTTATTATAAGACATTTGTTTTCTATTGAACCCCGTGAAGTCATGGAGTCTGTGGACAGTGTCAGCTTCACACCAAAAAATTTAAGTATTAGAAAAAATAGTGTTTAAGACTGGCATCTATTATGATGAGCTGCAGCTACCTTGTTCAATATTATTCCTGCAGATGTGGCTAATAACAAAAAAACACCCTGAACTGTCACATGTAGTTAACTGTACATTTTGTCTTGTCTGAGGCATTAATTGAACACCTTTGTATTTCTCCTATAGACACAGTGTGGATTATTGGTGACTGGTCCGTCGAGGTGCCCAGAGAGCTGCAGAGACAGAGGAAGAAACCTGAGCTTCAACAACATCTGCATTTGTTGGTTCTTCTGGGGTGGATTTCGGTTGCTTCTCTTCAACAGCTCGCTGTGAGGGAGGTCTCCCCCGGATGGCCTGAGTGATGACACCCACAGACTGAGAGCTGAGACGTGTTTTAAGCCTCTTGACAAACCGTTACACCCGCCCGCCTGTCAAGCTGGTCAGCTACACGCCTTATTGTGAATAACTCTTATCCTTCATCAAATCAAAACTGATGAGTCATCAAAACATTCACCCCCCGTACAGTGTGTGTCGATCGAGACATGAGCTAATCACACCTATTTGTTTGTTTTGTACCAAGCTGTAAACATGTTAATCTCTGCTATAAAAACAGACTTTTTTTAATGTTGTTTTTCAGATTAAATAAATATTTCTATATAAATGCACTCCTTTATGTCTACTTATGAGTATACATTTCAGATTTGAAATGACAAGACTAAAATGTGCATTAATGCTCAACTCAATAGCTTAGGGAAGGAAGTCTACTTTTACACAACTTTTTATTCTTTTGATAAATACTAATGCAGTTCATTTCTTAAAATGGGATGGAACAGAGTCATTGCAAAATGATGACCTTAAACACAGCCCCATTCTTAAATCAATATACATGGAGAGTAAATAAGATCAATAACTTGTGAATAAAAGCACAGTTAAAAATGATTTAGAAATGTAGTCTTCCCAGATCAATATCACATAATATCAACTTCTCCCATCTAAACTGGACAAAGGGTTTTAAAATGGGAAGAAAATGGTTTGATTGCAAGTTGTTTGGAGGAGATCTATTTTTATTTGAACAGCTGAAGCATGAATACAGTCTTCCAAGGTGCAAACCCTCCTCCTCCTCCTGAAGCTTGTGGAGCTCCTTGATGTACTGCTGTCTTATCTGCTGGCGATCTTCTCTCACCAGAACTTTGACTGTTGAAATGTCATTCTGAAGAAGCTCGAACATGTGACACGGATCCAGGAGAACATGGACTTTTAGTGAGGGGTCTTCAGGATGGCAAAGAAAGAGAGAAAATATCAGTTATTCATTAAATCATTTTTTTTGTTCTCATCTATTTTTCTGTATTCATCTGTGTGTAAGATTACATTTATAAATTCAACAGTGTACTACCCAGACAACAAAGGTCCAGTATTCAGGTAATCAACATCTATTCAAAGTTAAGAAGATAAACCTTATTGTAATCATTCTATTTTCAGCTCTCTCACTCACTCACACAATGATATTCCACATCAAATGATCTCAGATTTTGGGTGAGGAAAAATTAAGCAGCTTATTGTGGATAGTACTTCATCTTAACATGAAACAAATATAACCTGAATTATTTAAATCATTAACAGGTCCCAACTCTCTGTGCTTTAGTACAGAACATACAGTAACTCATTTATTATTAACATGAGCTCAGTACATGGCTGTATTCTTCAAACTATTTCTTATACTTTATATCTATGTGCTTTATATCTTATTTTCATTCCATATGTTATTTATATTTTATATTTCTACTGCTATATTCTGTAAATGAGTTCAGTGAAAATTAATATGGTTATTAATATAGTTACACAGTACACATTGCTGCGAGAGCTAAAAGCACTGCTAGGGAGAGTCAGGATGGGATAGGATGTGGGTAATGGAGAGAGAGAAATAGGAGAGGAGGACAACAGCAAACACAGATGCAGAAGCAGGTCAGGTCAGAAAAGCACATTTCCTTAGAAATAGGCCTCATTTCTATTCTTCTGTGCTTTGTAGACAGGACATCAAGCACAGAGGCACTGATCCAGAGTGGCTGAGAATGCCTCAAAGACTTGGCTGTACCACACACAGCATGGTAAGTTACATTTTTACCTGCATAATTTGTTCTATCATGAATAATCTTTTTTTCCCCCCATTTTCTTTCTTATTTCCTTAGCTACTTGTTATTATATGTGATCTTATTGTGTTGTGCATAATTCAATCACAAAAAAAGAATAAATTAACAGGTATATCTGTGGATATTTAGCTAATTTGATCAATGATTGCTTTACTTTTTAGGGATGTTTTGTTGACTGTGCTGCAAATAAGAAAGGCAGGGCAAAGAGAGCTTTTCTTGAGGTCGGAGTGACTGTATACAGAAAAGATTACTTGGAACGGCACGTCACTGAAGCACCACCAGGAGAGCATCAGATGTCAGGCCTCTTGTTTCATCTGGTGGGTTCTGATTTCAACAGCCGTTTTGTAATAACTTCAGTATATTCAAATCCATTTTTAATAACTTTGTCATTTACAGGCATCTCAATGATGGATTCCTCTGAGCCAACTGTTGTTTTAGAGCACGAGGCAATCATTGGTGGGTTCAAGGGCCTTTACTGGCTCATAAAAAAGTAACTGGCCCCCACACAAACTACCCAAAGCTGTTGAGCCTGGCTGAGCTTCTAGGATGTAACTATTTCAAGAGATTAAAGGTAAAGGTCCCCTAGCCATAATTTCAAATTTAATTCAATCTTAACATTAATGAATACATTTTTTAAATATTTTATATTTTACTTTTCCCAACGTCAGATTGACCAGAGGAATAATTATAGATCTCATCGTATCATTGACGGAATGCTTGAGATCTTAGCAGGAGTCATCGAGGAGCCGACTTCCAGGCTAGCACTGATGTCTCTATGTCCAGACTGCTTCATTTGCATGTCTGCTATAGGACCATTTATTTTGTCTGATTTTAGAATTGCATACATCCTTGGTCCGAATGAACTTTTAATACTAAATACTTGCCTTTGCTTTCTCTCAGATACCTGGATAAAGAGGGACATGTGTTGAGTCAATTCCTGGACTTGGTCTCTATTGACGATGGCAAAGCAGACTCTGTGTTGTGACAGCCATCAAGGATGTAATCTTGAGGAAGGGCCTCCCAACAGAGAAACTCTATGGACTTGGGACTGAGGGGGCAGCCGTGATGACAGGTAAATATTTAATGCCTATGTGAGCTTGTTTTGTCTGTTGTATCCCATGCTTGTCACTCATTGATTTTATATACATTTTGGCGGCGTGTGAATGGGGTCCCTATTCAATGGGGGTGAATAGGGACCACCTTTAAGAACTTCATTTATTTTTCAGAAACAGTGCAAATCGTACTGCAACACTCGGGGCAGCATCGGCTACCCTGGGTGTCAGTGATCTGAAAATAAAGGTAATAGTTATTTGATACCATTGTAGTTATCTTCTGTCTATTCATAACTAATCATTCTGTCCTTTATTGCAACATTTTCAGGAAGTGAAGGATACAAGCTGGCTCTTTCAGCACAGGGTCATCGAGACCCTACTGAGGAACTTGAGTGCATTCCTTGGAGCCTTGGCAGAGGAGGCAGAGATGAGAAGATGTCCAGTGGCAAAGGGACCCTACACATTCTGTGCTACATACAGATAAAGCGGCAGCAGTTTACCTCCAGGCTGATGTTTTGCCCCACCTCGCATGTCTGTCCAAAATCTTTCAAAAAGCAAATGTCAACTTTTTACAAATCAAGGAGCAGGTAAGCTTAATGTGTTTATTATCTATATTATCATCTATTTATTCAAATCTGTTTGATTTCACACATTGAAATGAGGGTTGTTTGCAGGTCTGACCAATACTTAACAGCATCTTTTCTTTTTTATATATAGGTTCCTGTCACAATTCAGTCTCTGGCTGGACAGACTCCACTCCCTGGATCATGCCTGCCTCGCCTCCATCAGGACCTCGATGATCCCAAGGACTCGGAGCCAGCACGAGGAGGAGAGGAATAGGAGAGGGCGAGATGTCATGAAGCGCTGAGGGAGGAGCAGTGAGCCAGAACCCAGCGAGAGGTAAATGTCCAATTTTGAAACTATGAATGAGAGAAAATGGAATTTATACTCCTGAATAGACTATGGCCTGGCCCTTAATGACGGAGGTAACAGTGGGTGTAGGCTCTTTCTAAAAATATGTTGATTTATTCATTGTAGGTCATCCACCCTTACATAACTGGCCTGGAAACACACCTGGAGAGGAGGTTTCATGATCTGGACATTCTTGGGGCCTTCAGTATCTTGGGACCCGCACCGCAATCAACCACTCTACAAGATGATACAATCAACATCTCTCATCTGCGGACTCTTGCCAGGAAATGTTGCCCTGAACATGAGAATGAGGTCCTGCAGGAGTGGTCCTCGTTCAAAAATCATGTCCTTCCTGGGGCATTCACGGTGGGTCAATTAAGCTGATTCTGACTACAATCAACTACAGTTCACAATACACACACATAGACTAATGCCTTGGTAAACCAAATGTTGTTTCAAGAACAATAACCAGGAGATCATGAGTCTGCTGGCAAGCGAGTTTGATGAGTGGACCAACCTCTACCCCTGTCTGAGCCTCCTTGCAGGCATTGCACTTGTTTTACCCGTTTCCTGTGTCAATTACAACGTGATTTCTCAACGGTGAACAGGGTAAGAGCATGACCTTGAACAGGACAACAAATAATCATGCATTTTCTTCATATTAGTGCAGTTTGTGGTATTTTCTTTGCTTTATCCTCAGGTGAAAACAGACCTGAAACCAGCTTCAAGGTGAACACCTGGCTGCCTGCCTGAGGATCTCCATAAACGGACCCCATCCTGAGGCCTTCTCATGTAATAGGGCATTGGAATATTTTTCAGAAAGCCCCATAAAATAAAATGTTCAAACACATCTTGCAAACTTTGCAACAAGTAGGCTGTGGAGCAGTCAAATGAGCGCTCTGTATATAATTTGAAAGTAAGGCACAACTGGCTTTCTGTCAGGCTGTCACAGTCTGTAGTAAGATGCCAAAGGGGAAACATGTTATGCTATTATTTAGATTTATTATTTTTATTTATTTATGTTATATTTGAATAAACAAATCTAATACCCTGATCTTATGTACATTCTATTATTATTATTATTATTGTTATGTATGCACTCGGAAACACTGGGCAGGTACTATACTGTACTATATACTATAAAATGAATGTACAACTTCAGGACATAATTCAGTAAACTGTCCCTCCGGCTTGTGTCACTCACATGCTCCATCATTTCTACATTTGATTTTATACAGAAAATGATTAAACTGTTTCCCCTGTATTAGAGAAGCCTGCATGTTTTATGACGCTTCCTCTTGTTTCCGTGCAGCAGATTCTTCAGAGGACCCATTCAGCTCCCGTCAGGATGAATCCTCAGAGGGCGTGAGTCACAACTTTGTGGTGGAGGGTCTCCTCCAGGGGACCAGAGATTTAAGCATCACACCCAGAGACAACCCGTGTTTAGCAGGAAGGCCCGTTCTTTCATCACAGAGGAGATCCTGGAAGCCCTTCGCAAGGCTGACCGCAAGGGCCGGGACGTGGTGGTGGGCCTGTCCAACGCCTGCTGCAAGTGGGGCTGCAGCAAGAGCGAGATCAGCTCCCTTTGCTGAGAGACCCCCACACCCTTCATGTGAGAGGGAAGACACAGGCAGACGAATATGTGTACAACACACATTTATACATCCGCACTTCTGTTTCACTCTTTATATATCAATCAAATGTCTTCAGTGAAACCGTTAAACAAAAGTTTAAATTGTTGTTTTATTTTGAGTCTGAATGAATGGAAAGGGCTGCTTGTGTCCATAAAGTTTCTGTGTAATTTCTGCAAAATAAAACTCATTTTTGGCTTTTTACATATCATTCAGTTGTTTTTACCTTCTTATATTTTGCTCGACTGTCTGAAATGTGAGCACTAAGCAACATTTAGCGAAGTTACAGTGGCAAGAAAAAAACTGCGTTTAGGAGTCAGAAACCGCAAGCAGAACCGGACTCATGTTGAACGGACGTCTGCTGAAACTACGCTGGGCTCAAAGGCTTTAAATATTTAGGCTGGGCTTGTAAACTGGGATAGAGGGAGATGTAGAAAGAAAGAGATGGATAGAAACAAACAGAGCATCAACAACAACAATGAATACAACAGACGTGACTCTCAAGATTATGTATGTTATTAATCTTGTGTTTGTATAATTCCTTATACACACCAGTAGTTTGCGTGATAGAAATTCATACCACCACTATTTTACTGACAGTGCTTTGTGTTGTTGTTGTTGTTGTTAAGGCTATTCTAAGTTTCATGGTAAGTAAAAGTACTTCATAGTACCTGTGCATGTAGTCTAAGAAGTACTAAGTCCAACCATATCAGAATCATTGTGTACTTATGGAGGAAAATGTTTTTACAAGACATCAAAGTCAGAAAAAAGGCTCATTATAGTGATTTATAAGGGACTTTGACAGTGGATTTCTCAGAAAGCACACAGTAAAAGTACTTCATAGTACCTGTGCAATATCAGAATCACTGTTTACTTAGGTAAGAAATATATATAATTATTGTTTTCTCCAAAAAAACTGTTTTGTTTTGTTTTTTAATTGTGAACACCTTATTTTGAAAAACGGAAGTTACCGCAGACTCGCAGTATTATTCTCACACTAACTTCCCCGACCTCCGAAGCTATTCCCTGAACAGTATTGTGTTTACTCCCGTTTCATACACGTGTATCTCATAGTCAGTTTTATGGTAAGACCTAGACATTTAGCACTTGACTTCATCGCTCTCTCTGTCTGTTCCTCCTGCTCGCTCTGGAGTCCGGAGCATTTACCATAAAGATCAGAATACGTGGGCACTTGAAATTTAGGGGCGGCTCACTTCACCATGTAAACTCGAGGAGCGGCTGTCTTCTTGTTTGACATTTTATAAATATGACCACTGATGACTGACTTGTGCTCTTAACTTCTGTAGTTTCTAATACCATACGAACTGGAAGTGTTTTACAACTTGACAAAGTCAGCTGGTTTAGGTATCATAATATTTTGTTGTAAATCCCTCGATAGTTTCGCGCACCTCGCCGTACTTCCGGTGCCAAACTGCGCAGGCGCGTACGATCGCTAACATACGTCATCATTGTGTCAACAGGGTTGAGTAGACGCTTTGATGTGTGATGTAACAATCCATAACTCGCTTATAATTAGATTTAGGATTTTCAGATCAAGATTGTGAACAGACAGTCAAATTTATCAGA